ATATGTCTCTTCTTATTCTTGTATAAGTGCCTGACACCACAGCAAACTCCGTGAGACGTGAATTCGAAATTAAAAGCCAGCCAGGCTCTGGGGAAATTCGCCAATTCTTCAGATTCTCTCACACGAAGACGTTTCAATAAATAAACAAGGCATTAAATCTTCAAAAGCTTCAGTAATGTTTGCAGGATTCCAAAACAGAGACAAACTGATTCAATTTGAGCCAAAGCTCAACATCCACTAGCGAGTTTTAACTCTCGCATATTAGAGACTTTGGTAACACTTTATTTTAAGGTGTCCTTGTTACACACGTACTTACTATTATAATAACAATAAATTATGCATAATTACATGCAAGTAATCCTAAACCAAACCCTAATCCTAACCATATAGTTGTCACAGAGCGACAGAGACATGAGACGTGCAGATCCAAGTGCGAAGCTTTATTAACCGACATGGTCAGAAACAGGCAAGGGTCAGACAATGGCAACAGGTATATAGAGGGCAAGACACAAGAATATTCCTAGGGCTAGCGTGGGTCTACGATCGGCGAACAGAATCAACAGGGCGAGACTAGAGGGATAAATCCAGGTACAAGGTAAAGGTCCAGGCAGGGGCAAACAGTATCCGAATAGGGCAAGACGAGAGGGGGAATCCGAGAAACACAGGCAAAGATCAGGACACGAGAAAACAGACAAGGCAAGACTAAGATAAGGCTGTGAAAAACTAGACAGGCTCCATAGAGTACCTATCGCTATGAGAGTGATAAACGCTATACAATACTCAGCAGTTTGAAAGGGATCAGAGTGAGTGTTATATAGTGAATGTGTGATTGGTTACAGCTGTGTGCAATCAGTGCTGTGTGCAATCACTGCAATGGATGATGGGATATGTAGTCCGGGATGACATGCAACAGTTTGTGTAGTGTGAGAGTCAATGTAATGGAAGGGTGACCTCTGGTGGCAAGCAGACGGAAGTTCGTGGACCGGATTCGTGACACTTACGACCAGGGTCACATTTATATAAAAATATTCTATTTTATTAAATCAAAATATTTACGACAGCAGAAATTGCACTGCAGACATAATCATTGTCATTTTTATTTTATTTTATCAGGGAGGATCAAACTATTTTCTAAATCTAACCTTTAAAAAAAAAGCATTCTGTTTTGCAGAGTGAATCAGTCTTCGGTTGACGATCAGTCATGGCAAACACGGGTCTTCAGGTGATGGGTCTGGTCCTGGGCGTAGCAGGCTGGGCGTTCGGGATCCTGGTCTGTGCCGCCCCCTGGTGGCGCGTGTCGGCGTTCGTGGGGGATGAGCTGGTGGTGTCTCAGGTGCTGTGGGAGGGGCTGTGGATGACGTGTCTGTCGCAGTGGGGCCGCCTGCAGTGTAAAGTCTATGACTCTGGCCTCGCCCTCTCAGGGTCCGCCCAGATGTGCCGCGCCCTGTGCGTGCTGTCGCTGCTCCTGTGTCTGCTGGCGCTCATGCTCAGCGTGACCGGGCTCAAGTGCACCCGCTGCCTGGGCGATGCGCACGAGACCAAAGCTCGACTGGTGCGGGTCGGCGCGGCGCTCTTCGTGGCGGCTGCGTTTTTCTTCCTTTTGCCAGTGTGTTGGACCGCGTATGTCGTGATACGCGATTTCCACGACCCGAACGTCGCCGCCCCGCTTAAACGCGAACTAGGATCGGCGCTCTACCTGGGATGGGGCGTGACCGTGCTGATGCTGGTGGGTGGGGCTTTGCTGTATTTAGGCTCCACCTCTCCTGGAGTTCCAGCCATGCCTGTTTTTGGAAAAGGCGCCAAAGGAAACCCTCCGTCCACAGCAGAGAGCAAACCGGAGAAGGTCTTTGTGTAAGTGAGCGTAAAAGACTCAGCCTGGATAAACTGTGTCCTAGTGCTCACCTAGAAGCCTTAATCTGCAGAAATGCAGGAATATTATCATTTACTCACTATTATGCCATTCAAAAACTGTACGCTGTTAATTTTTTTTTCTGTGGAACGCAAAAGGAGAATTTTGCATACTTTATGCAGCTTTTTTATTTGATTTTAATTAGCTCTTTATTATCCATTTTTATAGACATTTGTATTTGCTCTGCTGAAAAAACAGCTATGGTTTTAGAGGGGTTTAGCTTGTTAGGCTGGTCTTAGCTGGTCTGGGGTGCATTTTCCAAAAACAACTATGGTCGCAAGTTCTGTCGTTATCAATAGAGTTCAGTGGAACAAACGACAATAGTTAGCTGACAAAGCTTTTGGAGAATGCACCCCAGGCTGGGAGACCAGCTGGAACAACCAGCTAAAACCAGCTAATCAGCTTAGGCTAGTTTTAGCAGTTTTTTTTTTCAGCAGGTATATCATAAACATACAGTAAGCCTACAGCTTATTCACAACACACAGAAACATTTATTAATGATGTTACTCTTATGATACTTTTGAAAATGCTTTTGTCTTTTTTGGAACTTGACAGTTTGTCTTCATGTGGAAAATAACTTTTCAGAATTTCTACTTGTGCTAGAATGAATAACGTTCGTTTAGAACGACATAATGGTGTATGACATAATTTTTATTTTAAAGGGGTCCTATTATGCTCTTTTACAAAGTCTTGATTTTGTTTTGGGAGTGTACTAGAACAGGCTCTCATAATAGGTTGTTTGAAAAACACATTATTTTTCACATATTTTACATTATTACAACACCTCTCTCCCCAGTCTGGCATGAACGGCTCGAATAGTTCCTGTTTCAAATGAAGGCCCGCCTTCTGAAATACGAAATGTGCTGTGATTGGTTAGCTGGGCCAGTGTGTGCTGTGATTGGTTAGCTGGGCCAGTGTGCGTTGTGATTGGCTCCACTCAGCGCCTGGTCGGGAAATGTCATGCTCCTTACCATCGCCGCCTGCGAGCTTCAGTGTAAATATTGCTCAAAATCAAATCAATTTGAGCGCGATTTAAACCCGGATGACTGTAACCACTCTAAGTTTGTCTGCCTTGGGAAAACTAGCGTGTCTTCGACAAAGTGATAACACTCATTGCCTTCTCTAGTGCAGCTCAACCAGGTCTCGTCCCATTCGTCGGTATTTGTGATATCACAAATCCCAGAAAATATGCGTTGTAGTCTAAACGAGTCGTTCGTTGTAGTTTTTGAAAAGTGATTTCTGTTAAATAAAATATCTCCTTTTGAAGTGGACTTTGAGCTTTGTAACTTCGCAGATCTTTTTTTTATGCTCAAACAGCAACATTACAGACTAACTAAAGTTGAAAAAGTGAAAAAGCATAATAGGACCCCTTTAAGAAACTGCAATTGCATTAAGAAATCTTAATCTCTAATTCATTGAATCTGAATACATTTCCAAGCCTTTAGTGACTTACTTTGATTTCTGAAGGATCTTTTACATGCTATATGAAGATCAGTAATTAGGTTACTCTAATTTTGTTGTTGTATCACAGCCTCACATATTGTTTTTATGTCTTTTTGCAATGCTCAGTATAATTAATGATTATCTCATTTGATTTATTTATTGATGTGTTGCTGTGTATTATTTGTCTAATAAACCTAATAGAATAATGTAGGTTGACTGCGTGTTGATGTGTGTTGCCTGGACATGCATAGCATGCGTGTGTTAATGCGTTGGCAGGGATCACACGACACAATAGCAGAATACAGGACAGGGACAATAAACAGAGGGTCCACTGTTGCTCTGATTATGTCACAGTGTGGAATATGAGCTCGTGTTGAACTCCTTCAGAAGCCCTGTATAGAAACAGACACCATCAGAGGAGGAGGAATTCATCAGCATCAACACTTCAGAGACATTAGTGCCCCCTGCAGAGAGAGAGGCATGTTGGTTGGCTCTACATTGGGTTCATTTGTAACCCCTGATGGTTTAAAGGGGAAATTATTAATAAGTGATGATTTAGCAGTACCCGTATTACTGCAACTGTCCACAAGAAGACAGTCAAACCCAAGCCTCCAAGATCACACACTCAAAAATAAAGGGACTTTACTTGTATTGATGGTTCCACGATGAACCTTTCCATTCCACAAATGTTTATATATAGAAACTTAATTTATACAATATGTCAATGAAATATAAATTCATTTACATATTATTTGGTCAACCAAAAATGTTTATTTTATGGTTTGAGAGATACCATAAAAAGAAAGAAAGAAAGAGAGAAAGAGTGAAGATAACATAAACAAAGCTTTTTTTTTCATTAAATTTTCTTCATACTGTTTCTCAATCTCTGTTTCTTATGATAATTACAACACTAGCACAAAAATAGTAAAGTTCCATCAGTTAAATATTAAGGATAGTAGTCTTCAGTAGTAGTTCTGTGGATGATTTCACGACCTTAAAACATATGCAGTATAGGTAACATTAATGGAAGCTTTTGTTGTTGTTGTTTTTTTGCCTCCCTTTTACATACAATATTGTCAAAGCATACATACAGATTACTGATGCTTTGATAATACTGTATCAAGTAGTATGCTACTTTGAAATTGAAGAAATAGACAGACCGACAAATAGATTATTTAGATATTATTGACCCTGGAGCACAAAACCAGTCATAAGTAGCACAGGTAGGCTATATTTGTAGCAATAGCCAACAATACATTGTATGGGCCAAAATTATCAATATTTTTTTATGCCAAAAATCATTAAGTAAATGTTCAATGACAATATTTAGTAAATTTCCTACTGTAAATATATCAAAACTTTCTTTTTGATTAGTACTGCATGTCTGCCATCTGTGTGTGTGTGTGTGTGTGTTCAGTTGAGTCCGGTTTGGTGGACTTTGATTATCTTGTGTCTTGTCTGTCATTCAGTTTACCTCTGCTCTTAAGAGCGTAGCTGTACTTTGGTTTTCCTCCAAAAGTTTCACAAAGAACAAGTATCAGGTGGCCTATGAATGAGACTCGAATAAAAGTATTCAAAGAAAGAGAGTGAGTTACTAAACAGTCAGATACTTCTCTGCTAGCTGAGAGACGCTTGTCCCCTATGCTTTCTCTGGTTTTAAATCGTCTGAGTGCTCTCTTGTTTATCTGTGATAACAGGCTGAATTATCTCAGATTTGTCTGCTCTCCACTAAAACCAAAACAAAAGCCACAGATAAGCGCCATAAAACCACATACTGAAGCCAAAAACACTTGTGAAGAGCTGCTTGACACGAAGGTCACCCAGTCACCCTTCAGAGATCTGAGTTTAATGAGAGACAGTCTGAGTGCAGTTACCTTTGTGTGTGCTTAAAACATTAATACAAGATTCAAACATGCATCTGCATGTGTAAATTAACTTGAGATTGACTGTTGAGTTACACATGCACAGCTGCATTATTAAATAATTACAGTGTTTGAGCACAAGAGACATGTGACGTTATAGTTGGCGCACTGGTGAGAGCGAACGTTGGCCTCTGTTTAAACTTCCCACAGAGCAGTACTGTGTGTTCAAGTAGTATGCTACTTTGAAATTGAAGAAATAGACAGACCGACAAATAGATTATTTAGATATTATTGACCCTGGAGCACAAAACCAGTCATAAGTAGCACAGGTAGGCTATATTTGTAGCAATAGCCAACAATACATTGTATGGGCCAAAATTATCAATATTTTTTTATGCCAAAAATCATTAAGTAAATGTTCAATGACAATATTTAGTAAATTTCCTACTGTAAATATATCAAAACTTTCTTTTTGATTAGTACTATGTGCATAGCTAAGACCTTCGTTTGGACAACTTTAAAGGCGATGTTCTCAATATTGTGATTTTATTATTATTATACTTTTTTTTTTTTTTTTTGCACCCTTAGATTCCAGATTTTCAAATAATTTTATCTCGGCAAAATATTGTTCTATCCTAACAAAGTATACATCAATAGAAAGCTTATTTATTCAGCTTTCAAAAAAAAAAAACACACTTAAGCCTGGTTTTGAGGTCCAGGGTCACATATATGATTATTGTACATTATAAATTGGCATTATAAATAGATACCCAATCAGTCAGTCCGATAGGAATATAAGCAGGCTACGTGTCTCAAGAACAAACGTTTATTGGCTAACTAAACCTTTTACACAACAGCACAGCAGCTCAGTTGTGTGAGTGCAGTGGCTCCACCGCCGCCTCTAGAAGTTGCGTGAGAATGAGGAAGTGTTTCTTCTTAAAGTGACAGTGCAGTGATTTAGCGAACTCTATCCAGTATCTCAGCGGCTACTGTCTCTTTAAGAGTCCAGTGCTCGCTCTCAATGAACGCCGAGCAGTCAGATGCATGTTTCTCTCTTTTTGTGTGTATTGTAATGCGTGTGTGTCAATAGGAGGTGGATCTGGCGCACCGGGAGGCCGTTCCAGGTTCCGCGCGAGCAATTGGCTGCTCGTGAACTTTGTTTGTCTGTGCGCCCCGATCACGCACGCCACGCACTCGAGATGTCTCGTGCTCTTCGGGGTCACCGGTGCGCTCGCGACCTCGTGGAAGATTAGCGAGATCATCCACACACTCTGTCCGCAGTGCGCAGTGCGCAACGCGCAGCTCAGAATCGAACCAGAGAGAGATTAACGGTAACCGGAGAGATGGCGGAGAAGCGGATGTCGCGCTGGTACTTCGGTGGGATCGCGTCGTGCGGAGCCGCCTGCTGCACGCACCCGCTGGACCTGGTCAAGGTGAGACGCTCTCGGTGGCGGGTGTTTAGTGACAGATCAGCGGCCTCATCTTCATCCTCCAGCGCCGGAGCACCTGACAGGACTAGTGTTTGGGTCTGAGTCAACAGAAAAGAGTTTCTCATTTGGACAATTCATAGTTAGACATGTATATTGCTCTTTTGCTAACTGAGTGCTTTCAATAACTCCTGAGCAATATATCGGTCAGACCGATAATACCGATCATATTTGTCCAATTTAACACTGTTAAAATAATAGAAACAAGGGCTGTGCAAAATGTACATATTGCAATATGCATATCGCTACAGTTTGCAATATTTGGGGTCATGAACAAAAGACAGAGAAAATCACTCACTGCTCTAACCTAAATAACTTTTGTAGCTTAAATAAGAATCAGTGCAAACATTAATACAAGATTCAAACATGCATCTGCATGTGTAAATTAACTTGAGATTGACTGTTGAGTTACACATGCACAGCTGCATTATTAAATAATTACAGTGTTTGAGCACAAGAGACATGTGACGTTATAGTTGGCGCACTGGTGAGAGCGAACGTTGGCCTCTGTTTAAACTTCCCACAGAGCAGTACTGTGTGTGTGTGTGTGTGTGTGTGTGTGTGTGTGTACTGTTTTGTCAGTGAGTTTTTGTTACAACCTGTTGCATGTAGCAACAGGTACTTAATGCTCAAGTGAGCATAGTATAATCAAATTTTACACGCACTAGAGCTACTTTTATTTGTCCAGTATGCATTTAATTTATTAAAAGTGACAGTAAAGACATTTATAATGTTACGAAAGATTTCTATTTCAGATAAATGCTGTTCTTTTGAACTTTTGATTCCTTAAAGAATCCTGAAAAACAAAATGTGTCACGGTTTCCACAGATATATTGAGCAGCGCAACTGTTTTCAACATTGATAATAATCAGAAATGTTTCTTGAGCAGCAAATCAGCGTATTAGAGTGATTTCTGAAGGATCATGTGACTCTGAAGACTGGAGTAATGATGCTTTGATCACAGGAATGAATTATATTTACAATAGATTCACAGAGAAATCAGTTATTTTAAATTGTAATATTTCACATTATTACTGTTTTTCCTGTATTTTTCATCAAATAAATGCAGCATTGGGGAGCAGAAGAGACACTTCAAAAACAATCTTACCGACCACAAACTTTTGAACGATTGTTGTAAATATTCGTTTTACTGCTGATTAGGGATGTAACGATTCACTCAACTCACGATTCGATTCGATTCACGATTTCTTTTTTTACAAAATGAGATTTAAGACAAATTATAAATTAAATTTGTCCTTTTATTATGGCTTGGACAAAATGCTGCACGTTTCTTTGTGAAATTGAAATATAAAACTATAATAATATACTAATATAGCACTTGCATATTATTGCTTCGAATATCGCATTATTTAATGAGTTATCGCATATCGCATTTTTCTTCAATATCACACAGCCCTAATAGAAACTTACTGACAAATTGTAATGAATGTTTTACGTCTAGTAAATTTGACAATTTGTTGGACGTAAAATTATATATTTTATTTGAACAATATCTGCATAAAATCCTTGAAAGTCATTTGTCTGTAAAAAAAAAAAATATATATATATATTTACAGCCTAGTCAAATGTTTTAAAATATTTTTCAGTGAAATTTTGTGTAAAATAAGTGTTCATTTAAGCAACTTTATGTACATCTAATTTCCTAACGTGAACTAATATTGATATATTTTGCCTGTCAATTATGAAAAAAAAAAAATAGCCATTGACAAGCACATAATTGAATACTAGTTTGTGATCTGATTAGGTCTCATGTGATGTCCTATATAATTAAACCAAATGAATGAGTGCGTAATCACATTATAACAGGACGGAGGTCAGGTCCTAAAGTCCTCAAGCCGCAGTGAAGGACACTACAGTCAGAACTTTGTTCTAGATTACAGAAACAAATGCAGTCATTTGGTCTTATAATAGAGCTGGATGGGTGTCTTAATTGTTTTCCAGAGCTATAATTAAGTGTTTCACATGCATGCTCTAAATGAAAGGCTGCAAATGTTCTGTATGCGGTACGTTTATATTAAAGGCCAGTGGTATTTTAGGATCAGCTCATTCTGTGCTTCTTAATGGGTTCACTATCATGCCATAACATCAATACGTGTGTATGTGAGAGAGCTGGCAGTCCATGCATGCTTTTGTCCAGATTCCTCATGAGTTACAGACGTGTGTGATCAGCACATGTCTGCCATCTGTGTGTGTGTGTGTGTGTGTTCAGTTGAGTCCGGTTTGGTGGACTTTGATTATCTTGTGTCTCTGTTTGTCCTTCAGTGCCCTTCTGCTCTTAAGAATGTAGTTGTACTTTGTTTTTCTCCCAAAAGTTTCACAAAGACGATGTTTTTGTGTTTTGCTTTGGTACCGAAATTGGTACCGAGAACCGTGGATTTTCACTGGTATCGGTACCGATTACTGAAATTTTGGTACCGTGACAACACTAATCTAAACTTTTCTAAAGACAGTAATTTCCCCTCAGACATACATTCATATAAACTCCTACCCCTATATATATATATATATATATATATATTAATATTGTTGATTAACTATTATAGTTCTATAAACGTTTCAATTCTGAGAAGAAAAGTTAGAATTGTGAGACAAAGATACAATTGAAAGAAGTATTGCTAGATAAAAATTGTTAAATTAAAAAGGTGCAATCATCCTTTTTAATTTTTATTTATTTTTATTACAAACAAAAATTGCGAGATGTAAACTTAGAATCTAAAGAGAGAATTTTTGTATCTCAAATTGAATATATATTTTTTAAAGAATTGCAAGATAAAATTTAAAGAGATAAAAAGTCACAATTACCTTATTGTATTTGTTATGCTTGTATTTTTTAAATGGTTTTTGCCATAAAAATAGCCTAAGATGCTGACATGGCATTAAATAAATATATGCTACTACTTCTCATAAATATGTCTATATGGTTTATAATAATTTTTACTGCAGTTTTAGATATGTTATTTTAAAGAATAATATTAACCCTGATGCGTAGATGAAGACATATTGTGTGTTTCTCCACAGGCTTCACCGGCGGCTTCATCGGGACTCCAGCGGATATGGTTAACGTTCGGTGTGTATTGCAGGGTTTGTGTTTGTGTTTCTAGCTCATCTGGCCGAGTGTGAGCGTTTTTCATGTTATTGATCTCCACAGGATGCAGAACGATATGAAGCTTCCTGCAGAGCAGAGGAGAAAGTGAGTGTGTGTAGGTCTAAAATCTCTCCAGACGGTCATGACGTGATTAATCTGAATCATATCTGTGTCTCTCGCAGCTATAAACACGCGCTGGACGGACTCTTCCGGGTCTGGCGGGAAGGTAAAGACGTTTCTGGATCTCTAAAATCATCTGGAAATGTTTGAATGTGTCTCTCTGAACGTGTGTTTCTCTCAGAGGGAACCAGGAAGTTGTTCTCAGGAGCCACTATGGCATCCAGCAGAGGAGCCCTGGTCACTGTCGGACAGGTGAGACAGCAGTGCATGATGGGAATGACTGCAATTCATGAAGTTTCTCCGTTTATTGAATATTTTTGGCTAATCAGATTAGACTTTTTTTCTGGTGATCTATGAACTATTCAGAATAAGTGCATAAAATGTAGAAAAAGGCCAGATATTCTTTGGTTCCCACACAAACTGAGGAATGATCCCCTGAATGCGCTGTGAGCCGCTGTGGACGAAGGCATCTGTCAGATGAAGTGTTTATGATGATGAAATTATCCCGAGCGTGTCTCTCTGTGTCAGCTGGCGTGTTATGATCAGTCCAAGCAGCTGGTGTTGGGCACAGGACTCATGGGAGATAATATACTCACACACTTCCTGTCCAGCTTCATCGCTGTGAGTATCGAAGCCTCTGATTGGCCAGTCATTGGTTATTCTTGATAACTTAGTTAATGGACAGTATTGGACATCTAGTTTTTATTGATTAGTAAAATATCTATCTATCTATCTATCTATCTATCTATTACCTATCTTACATTCATATAAACTCCTACCCCTAATTGAATCGTGATTTGTTTAGCATCTCAACCGATTTGAATCGTCACATATTTTCAACCGGCTCGCGGTTAATCGTTACATCCCTACTGCTGATGTGATCTGATGTAATAATAATGATATTGCTGATGTTGACAGGTGCACCTGCAGACGCAGCAGGAGGTGAAGATGAGGATGGTTGGCATGGCGATGCACGTGGTGAAGAACGACGGTGTGCTGGCGCTCTATAACGGCCTCAGCGCCTCGCTCTGCAGACAGGTCAGATCCTGACCCCAGATCAGCTTGATTTGTCTGGGAATAACGAGCTGAGATTCACACACCCAGCAGTGGTAACGCCTGTAAAACTGGAGAAACAACTTATTTTAATGACTTATTTGATGAAATAAGTCACTTTCCCACGTACAATGTCAGTCAGGTCATGTGATCGGGATCTGCTGTTTGAGCGTGTGTGAGGGTCAGACACTGATGTAAGAGTCACAGAGTTTGAGTCCTGGGGTGTATTCCAGAAAGCACGGTTAACTTACCGTCAGCTAAACCCTGAACTTTCGGTTGATTAACCCCAAACCTTGCTTACTCGAGGTATGTGGTTCCAAAAACGCGTCCGGGAGTCCAAATCGACGAGTCACTATGGAAACGGACGCTAGCGCCATGCTGTTTCTTTCTTCTTCTTTTGTTAAGTGGTTATTTACATGCTTAGTGCATATCGCCACCTAATTGATGGTTTTGCAATCATTTTAATTTTTTTTCTATTACCTTATCATCTATCTATCTATCTATCTATTGATCTATCACCTATCTATTTATATATCTATCATCTATCTATCTATTGATCTATCACCTATCTATCTATCTATCTATCACCTATCTATTTATATATCTTATCATCTATCTATCTATCACCTATCTATCTATCTATTTATATATCTATATATCTATCACCTATCTATCTATCTATCTATCACCTATCTATCTATCTATCTATCATCTATCTAGCTACGTGTGTGTGTGTGTGTTTAAATGTAAAAAAACGTATATGTACATGTGTATAGTAAATTTATATTTAAATATATTTATTGTAAAATTATTTAAATATTTTTATAATTTTATTTATATATATTTACATTAAGTCATTGATAAATGAATTGATACATCTGATAAAGTAATCAATAAATCGTTTTTATTTGTATAACATTTGTAAAAAAAGTTATGATTTTTAAAAAATGTACATAAATATGTGTATAATACATTTATGTGTAAATATATTGTATAATAGTCTTAATAATATTTTATAATTATAATTATTTTTATAGTGCATCTATCTATGTTTTTTTTCCATTTAATCTTTAATCCTTGAGAATATGAATTATATTGTTTGTTTGATGCTAATTATATATTAACTCCAGAGCAGGTTATCTTCAGAGAGCAAGTTACTATGGTTACTTACATACCCTGAAAGTAACCTCCGATTTTGGAACCGAAAACTGAGGTTATCCGCTCTCTCATCCTCAAACATACCCGGGTATGTCACATAACCTGCTCTCTGGAATACCCCCCTGAAGAAGCACACTCAAATCCATCCACATTGTTTGTTCGGTGAAAATGCATGGTCATGCTTTAACTTAAACTAGCAATGTTTTGGAAACAAAAGCTGCCGAACACACATGCAAACTGATCTCCAGAACTGTCAGCTAATACACTGCCCTGAATATATCAGAAACTCTTCCTGAAATACATGAAACAGCAAATCTTCGGTTAAAGTCAGTCTCTCATGGTTAAGTGTCAGATTAAGATTGTTAGTGTTTACTGGCTAAACATTGTTTACACTGAAGCTGATGAAATACACATGTAATGCTAATGAATCTCTCTCTGTCTGTCTCTGCAGATGTCGTATTCTCTCACCAGGTTTGCCATCTATGAGACGGTCAGAGACATGATGGGCAGCGGCGGTCAGGGACCCATGCCCTTCTATCAGAAAGTCCTGCTGGGCGCGTTTGGAGGTAAAAACACACACCACTACAAAGCAGAGAATCACCAAACACCTCATGAATGAAAAAATCATCACCATCATGCAGTACGCAATGCAACGGTATCAACGTTATATATGCAACACATATATATATATATATATATATATATATATATATATATATATTAATATTGTTGATTAACTATTATAGTTCTATAAACGTTTCAATTCTGAGAAGAAAAGTTAGAATTGTGAGACAAAGATACAATTGAAAGAAGTATTGCTCG